CGAGTCGCCCCAAGCGCGAGACCCCTGAGACGGCTGCTGATTGGCTGACGATGGCGCAGGTGGTGGGCGCGCGGGAGACAGGGCGGCTTCTCTCCTCTTTCCCCCTCCAACGATTCCACCCCCCTCCCTCCGCCAGCGGCCGTTATTTCGCGCGCACGCGCACAAGGCCGCCGTCGTTGCCGAGCGGGAGAGTGGGGGAGCGCGCGCCGGGGACACGGACGGGGCGGGGCTAATCCCTGAGCGCGCGCCCGCCTAACGGTCGCAGGCCTCATGCTTCGGCTTCCTCTTTTTGCGTCCTGCCGGCCACCGTCCTCCCCGCCCCACTCCAGCTGTTTATTTACAATCCAGCGCTGACTCGCTGCCCGAAGATGGCGCCCAGTGGAGTCTCCGGCCTCGCTCGCGGCCCACCCCGAGGCGGTCACACCCCGGTCCCGCCCCTACAGCCCCAAAAATCAGGCGGAAGCACCAGAGCAAAAACTGTATTTACACAACACGGGGTTATACAAGGATTTAAAAAGGCGGAGTGAAGAGACGACGGTCAGGAGGGGCCACAGCGCTGGCCGGCGGCGAGACCCAGGATGTTTGCCTGCAACACAGGAGAGAGGGGGGCAGCGATGTTAGAGAGGGACGCGGGGCGCAAGACACGCAGAGGAGGGGCAGGGCCGTGACCTCACCTTCAGGAAGGACTCCATCTGTTTCCCCGTTATGCCCTCCACGCGTTCCAGGTCCTCCACCTGGCGGGACAGGATGGATGGGGGACGGGGTCTCAGGGGTGCCTGGTCTCCCCAGCTCCCTCCCCTGTCCCTGTCCAGTGGGCTGGTACCTGGCTGAAGGGGCCGTGAAGCTCCCGCCATCCCACGATTAGCTGAGCCTTCTTCGGGCCAATACGCTGAAGACTTCGGAGATCCCGGGCTGAGCCTTCGTTCAGCAGATCCAGTATTTTTTGGCGCCCATGAGCCAGTAGCTCCGGGCTGATCTGTAGCTCCCAGCAGTCCTCAGCCTTCTCCTCAGGCTCTGGGGCATCCAGGGACTCCACCTGGGAGACAAAGGGAGGTGAGTGACACGCAGGGCAGCCAAGTGCTTTGGGCTCTTCTGCCAAAACTAGGAGCCCAGCACCAGCGACCTCCTGCGCTGCAGCCTCTTCCTCTCCTCCTCAAGTTGTGTCCAAAATCCCGCCTTCAGGTCACTCTGGGTTAATTCTCATTATGCAGCTAGTGAAACTGAGGTACTATTTAGTACTCAGTGGTAATATTAGCACCTTTCTCATGGAGTTGCTGTGGAGATCAAGTGAGTTAATGAATGTAAAGCACAAAATAAGCTCTTAAATCTGGTCCCTCATCTCTAAAAGGGAAAGAATAAGCTCTTTCAAAAGTACATGGGAGAAAATAAATAAATGATACCTCCCCTCAACCATCTCAGTGTTTGGATAGTTCTTCTAGTGGTGTTCAATTCTGGGTATGCACGCGTGTGCACGTGTGGTTTCATTCTTGAGTGCTTAGGTTCCCTAAGTTTTCCCTCTTAAGCTTGTAGAGGGCAGAAGCCAGGCTACACAGTGGAACATCCGCTCTGTGAGGTACATCTATATCACTGCCTTCCACCCTAAATGCCCTGCAAGGACCCATTAATCACCACATTCCAGGGGTAAGCAATTGAGGCCTGATTTTTTTGTTTTTTTTTTTTTGAGATGGAGTCTCACTCTGTCGCCCAGGCTGGAGTGCAGTGGCCGGATCTCAACTCACTGCAAGCTCCACCTCCCGGGTTTATGCCATTCTGCCTCAGCCTCCCGAGTAGCTGGGACTACAGGCGCCCGCCACCTCACCCGGCTAGTTTTTTTTTTTTTTGTATTTTTTAGTAGAGATGGGGTTTCGCCGTGTTAGCCAGGATGGTCTCGATCTCCTGACCTTGTGATCCGCCCGTCTCAGCCTCCCAAAGTGCTGGGATTACAGGCTTAAGCCACCGCACCCCGCTGAGGCCTGTTAATAACTGGCGGCCATCACCCAGTTCGTTTAACCCCAAGGCCAACGCTCCTCCCCCTAGAGCCCACTCCCCCTTACTTGTGGGCTCCAGGTGTAGCCTAAGCCCCCAGCTACTTTCACCTTTCTCTTCCGGCCTTTATTCTTCAGGATATGGATCTCGGCATTTGGGGATGCTGCCTGCTCCTGAACTGAAAGTAGGAATTGAGAATTGATTGGAGTCAAGGCAAAGGGTACTTTTCACCCTCCCTGGTAGCCCTTCGGTTCTTCCATTTCTGATTCCCCAGCTTCCCTCCATCCTGAGTTAACCTGTTGTGTTTCCACATGACCTTTTTTATACCCGCATTTAAAGTAATTTCAGTCTTCCATTGTCTTCAATCCTCTACTTGTTTGTCCATCCCACTGTACTAAACACCCGAGGACAGAGCACCCCCAGTGCTGCCTCAGAGCCTCCTCACCCCTCCTAGGGACTCGTATGTGGTGGGAGAACATAAATGACATGGAGACAGCTGCTCCTAACACTTCCTGCCTTATGGGATCTCAGCTGCCTTGGTCCCCCTATCCCCTGGAGTCAAACTTACTTAGCTGTAGGGGCATCACCACAGCCTTTTTCAGGGGCTTTGCCACTGTGACTGTGCGATGCAAAAGGGGCCGGAGTATCGTGGGACAATGGTTCTCCTTTTCCTTTGAGTCTTCAGCCTTCTGGGCCAACACCTTGGCCTCCAGTTCTTTTTGTTTCATCTTAAGCCTCTGTTGGAAAGGATCAGGGAGATGTGACCCAGACCCAACTCCAGGGCAGCCTGAAGGGCAGTGGGTTATCAGGGTGAGTATGCAAGGCTCTGAGGCCCCAGAGGGCAGGGCTAGGACCAATGGGAGGTTACCAGGAGACAGGTGGAGCCTAACATAATTAAGAGCTTTCTGTGATCAAGGGGCTACCCAGAGGTGGAACAAGCTTCTGCAAATATTGAAGGAAAAGGCTTTTCAAGCAGAGTCCTCCATTAACTGAGCTGGGCTTTAGGAAATGTAATGTTTAACATTTGTTGCTTTTACTTTGAACTTTTTCTTCTCACCCCCTCACATCTGATCTCAATTGTCTGTCAAAGTTCAGCCATGGTAAGGACATTCAAGGAGAAGCTGGAGAACTTCCGGTATTGGGAGAAAACTGGACTCTAGTCCAGCCTGAGTGTCCTTCCCTGTCTGAAGATTCGAGTATTGCTTCTCAAGGCCAACAGGAATCCCAGCTCCCACATCCCTAAAACACCTACCTCAATCTCCAGGTCTTTCTCTTCCACGGTCTTCATGAGCACCATCCGCTCTCGCTTTGGGGTACTCAACAGAGGGGCTCCCTGGCTCCCCTGGGAGGCCAGCAGACGGTCCAAGCTCAGGAGGCGCTCCAGCATGGCTGGGTCCATGCTGCTTAGCTTCTGCAGGGGGCTGAGCAGACAAATAAGTTGCTCTCCACCTACCTCCTCCCTCATCACCTACAGCAGCAGGACTCCCCTCACCACACCTTAACTTGGCATATCCTGTAGCTCCAGAACCTAATGTTAACTTGCTAGGCATCCAGTTTCTCTGGGTGCAGTGTCTTCCTCAGGTGAAGTGACTGCTCAGGAATGCCAGGAAATCACAGTGCCAGGTATGAGAGATCTAAGACACTGCCTGGAAGTACTGTCTACTGAGGAAATCAAGAGACCATAAAGTGACTGCCAGGGCAATGCCTGACCATCTGGAGGAGCAGTTGGGGAAAACATCACAGAAGATGCCATCTTCAGAAGGGCTTTGAAATCCACTGAAGACCTCAGCTGCCAAGCCTATATCCTGTGGGCAGCAGGGAAGGCCTGTTCAAGCACAGTCCTGACTGACTCTGAGCATGGTAAGGCTTAACATTCTTCTTTTTTTTTTGAGACAGGGTCTTCCTCTGTCACCCAGGCTGGAGTGCAGTGTTCAGATCACAGCTCACTATAGCCTTGGCCCCCCCGGGGCTTAAGCAATCCTCCTGCCTCAGCCTCCTGAGTAGCTGGGTCCACAGGTGCATGCCACCAAGCCCAGCTAATTTTTTTTTAATTTTTTTGTAGAGATGGGATCTTACTATGTTGCTCAGGCTCGTCTTGAACTCCTGGGCTCAAGTGATCCACCCACCCTGGCCTCCCAAAGTGCTGGAATTACAGGTGTGGGCCACCGCGCCCAGTCAGCAATGTCTAACATTAATTTATTTTGCCTGGAATCTTGCCCCACACCTCCTCACATCTGTATCAATGATCTTTCCAGGTCAGTTTGATGCCACCTTTCCCATGACACTCGCATCTCCCTTCCTATGCTGTGAACTGGCTCCTGGAGGACAGGGACACTCCTGTGCTTTCCACGCCAGTGCCTTGGAAAAAGAGGATCAGAACATATGTGGGCAAACACTAGAAGTCATCTCTCTTCCTTCCTGGCTCTCACAGCAGCAGCAGCTACTCCTTCCTGATTCTAAATTCTCCACCTGGTATCACATACTGACGTTCCCATCTAACTTCCTCTCCTGTGAGCCTCCCAAGCTCTGGGTCTGCTGGGTTTGTTGTGCCCACTCTGAGCTTCCCCTTACTCAGAGTGCCTGTCTGACAGAGAGCTTACCTGTGCACATTTCTGGGTGCACACAGCAGTGGAGAGTGCTGACAGATGGTTTGGGAAAGACAAGACTGAGAGATTGGGTCATGAGTGCACAAGCATCTTCTTGTGTGTGGCACCTTCCTTAACTACAGTAGCCCCCTGGGACAGAGTGGGCACTAACCCTTGGCCTCCTCAGGTCACCTCTGTTCAGTAGTTCACAGGCTTTATTTGGGCTAGGGGTAGAAACAGGGCAAAGTTAAAACTGCAACTGGCTTCTGGGGGTTGGAGGGAACAGCACAAGGGCTAAGTGGCCAGACACAGAAAGCAAGACCTCTGAATAGAGATGACCTGAGGATTAGTACATACTGGGCCATGAGATGGAGTGATTGGAGTTGGGTCAGGAGGTGACACAAAGGACTTAGAGGCTTTGTCTGGATTGAGGGTAGAAGCAGTTAGGACAACAGTTGGCTCCCCAGAGAGTCGTGGAGAAGCTGGGCACTGACATACAGACCAGGTGGTCTCAGGGGGACAGCTCTTCCAAGTCTCCTTTGCTTTTCTCTCATGGATCTGAAAGATCTGATCCAGATCACTCCTTGAACCAGAAGCAAAAATGCTCATCCTTGAAACAGCTGTCCCAAAGCAAGAAGTTTTGCTGAGGGCTAAAGAGATTGGAAAATGGAAAGGATCCCCAGGAGGAGGCCTCCTTAGGTCTCCAAGGCAGCAGCACTGTGGAGAGATTTATCTTAGACTTTAGTGATTCAACAGAGTAGAATCTGGGGGGAATTTATGTATGTATTTATTTATTGAGACGGAGTCTTGCTCTGTCACCTAGGCTGGAGTATTTAGTGGCTTGATCTCGGCTCACTGAAGCCTCCACCTCCCAGATTCATGCAATTCTCCCTGCCTCAGCCTCCCGAGTAGCTAGGATTACAGGCGCCCACTACCATGCCCGGCTAATTTTTGTATTTTTAGTAGAGACAGGGTTTCGCCATGTTGGCCAGGCTGGTCTTGAACTCCTGACCTCAGGTGATCCGCTTGCCTTGGCCTCCCAAAATGTTGGGATTACAGGCGTGAGTCACCGTGCCCAGCCGGGGGTGAATTTATTTCTTTACTTTGAGATAGAGTCTTGCTCTGTTGCCCAGGCTGGAGTGCAGTGGCCGCAATCTCAGCTCCCTGCAACCTCAGCTTCCTGGGTTCAAGGGATTCTCCTGCCTCAGCCTCCCGAGTAGCTGGGATTACAGGCACACGCCACTACACCCGACTACTTTTTGTATTTTTTAGTACAGATGGGGTTTCACCACGTTGGCCAGGCTGGTCTCGAACTCCTGACCTCAGGTGATCCACCCACCTCGGCCTCCCAAAGTGCTGGGATTACAGGAGTGAGCCGCCACACCCGGTCTATGGTGAATTTAATGGCAGAGGAACAAGATCACAGCTGTCTCTGCTCAAGAATCTGACAGGCATTGCAGCTCTGCTGCTAAGCCACACATCAGGAAGGGGATACACCCAAGGCCCACTGCTCACCTGAGTTTCTGGGAGGCAGAGGCTGAAGCTGCCATGGGCTCAGCACTCCCAATCTCCTCTTCCTCAGGGCCTCGAGCTTTCTTTGCCTCTGGTGGACCAAGCAATTCTTTCTGAGACAGCTTAACAGGTCCCAAGACTAGATGATTGGAGGATGGGGTGGAGAGAGGGATCAGGGGTGGTCAGCCTCTGTGCTGATGCTTGGTGGTTTCAACAAACTCCCTGATTTCCAGACCCAGCATTTCCACTCCTGCCTCCCCTAGTTCTCACCATGAGGCTGCAGGCTCTCATTGGTAAAAGGCCGGTTGATCACCTCCTTCGTCCTGGCAGCAAAGTTGAGTGCAGAGACTGTGTCTAGGTAGAAATGTCTCTCAGGGGCAATGTTGGCAATAAGGATGCTGTGGGCTGAGCCACCCAGAGAGTCCTGAGGGTGGGACCAGGCAGTGGGTGGGTCAAAAGCCCAGCCTTCCTATGCCTCAGCCGCTATTCCCCACCCCACAGCAGGCCTGAGAACCTCCTTCTGCAGCCCCTTCTTCCCTGAGACAGGAGGGTCTGACCTGCAATAGGCGAGTGAGCTTGCTGTCCCGATAAGGTACACGAGGGAGGCCCTGATTCAGCGCATCTACCACCTTGCCCAGGACAAACAGGGAGGCGTTGATGGCACCACTCTCTTTTAGCCGAAGTCCCTTGTTGCCTGTGCGCCGGTTGTCCTCTGACCCAGCCAAGTCAATCAGGTAGAGTTTTCCCTCTCGCTGGCGAAATGGGGCCAAACGTTCCCGCTGGTCCACCTGGGGTAAGAACAAAGGTCTCATGCTTAGCTCAGGCTCCTGGGCTTCCCAGGTCCTCGCCCGTCTGTGGCCTCACCTTGACCAGGAGCACAGCATGACTGCGGGAGGAGCGCTGGTTGAGCCGGGTGGCTCCTACAGTCCGATTTCGACTGGCTGGCAGGAAGTGCCGCTCAAAATCAGCAAAGCTAGTGATGGGCTTCTGGGTGAGACCCGGAATCAGGATGTTCCCCCGGCAGTCTTCTCGGATCACCAGGTCTCCTGATGTAGAATCCAGTAGGTCTAATACCTGTGTAAGCAGTGAAGGGGAAGGGCAATTCTCTACACAGAGGCGGCTGCTTTCTGGGGATCAGTTTCCTTTCTCTGTTCTATTCTCGGAGTTGTACCATCTGCTACCCCAGCCTCTGTCTTTCTAGGTCTCACCTTACCTCCCTGCTAGAGCAGAGCTTCATTTTCTAGAACCAGGTCTTACTTTGACCCTTTGTTGCTCCTCTCCCAACCAGCACGGGGCCTCACCTTCTCCTGGTAGATCTCTAGGTAGGACATAGTGACAGAAAGGGCCCATGGCCGGCCCTCGGCGCCCTCCTCCCTTGTCAGCTGCAGGAGGTCCATGAGAGCCCGCGGAATCACCCCAGGTTGCTCTGGACTGCCCAGCATTGTGTGCGTCTTCCCTGGGAAGAGAGTGGAGAAAGCTGTGAGATTTTCCTCTCTGGTTCCCCAGCCCTTTCTGACCCATAACTGTTTCTTTTCTGGCTCCCTCACCAGCTCCTGTGGGTCCATAGGCAAGCACGCTAGCATTCTGCCCTTCCAGCAAGTGCCTTAGGATGGGCTGCACTGAACCTGCATAGATGTCCTGCTGAGTACTCCTCTCCCCATAGAAGGCATCAAACCTGCAGGAAGAAAGAAAGAAATTAGTATGTCTGTGTGTATGTAAGGGGTAGAGTGGGGTGGGGGTGGGTAAGGGATTCTACTCTCATCTGGATCTTGGATTTAAGAGAATGTCTCTATCTGCTTTCTTGTACAAAGACCTTAAAAAGCATCCACCTAACACCTACTCCATCCTCATCTCTCTATTGGTGTTAGGAATACAGAGATGGATCTGATATCCTTGCTCTTAGAGTTTTGCAGTCTGGTAGGATAGATATCCACACTGCTGTGATTTAGGAAACGAAGATAAGAACACACTCTTGAAGGAGTAACTGATTCTGCTCAAGGAAGGAAGATTTTGACCAAAGAAAGAAACTCTTAAGAATCAAGAATAACACAAAAGCAAGGCTTCCCAATCTTTTTCACAAGGCCACATGTGTAGAACATTGTATTTTAAACCGTAACGGGGAATATAGAGGATGCTGCGTACGACTGGACTAGACTCCACATACCAATCACAAATTCACTGCGTTCTGGTGGAGAAGCTGCAACTTAGGCCACAGCAGGGAGTTTAGTATATGTTGAGGGAATGAGGCTGGAAAGAAACTGAAGCCCAAATTGTTAACGGTCTAGTATGGGAGCTAGCAAACTTCTGTAAAAAGGCAGACTGTACATATTTTAGGCTTTGTGGGCCATGTGTTCCTTTTACAACTACTCAACTCTGCCACTGTAGTCAGAAAGCAGCTATAGACAATATGTAAATAAACGATAAAATTTTATTTACTGAAAATCTCACTCCTGATCAGATTTGACCTGCAGGCCATGGTTTGCCAGCCCCCGCCTAGAAAAACAGCCCAAGGAGTTTGAACTTGAAATCCCCAGTAGGATTATAAAGTAGCTGCCCTTATGAGTTCTGTCCCCATATCTGGGTGGTCTTCTCTGACACTACCCAGCTGCAGCTTGGGTAGGCTGGCTGGCTGGTCTGTGTTTCCCCAACCCTCCCGCTGTGTCCCATAGCCTCTACGTGGGGCTCACCTGCTCACCTTCATTGCTACTCCCTCTCTGTGCACAGTAACATATGTCTGATTTAACCTCTCATCTCTCCCTACAGTATCCCAGAGAGGGTCCATCACGGGGGACACCTGTGAACATTTCCTAGTGAACAGTGAAGGCTCAGGAAACAAAGTGGTGTTAAGGAGGGAGCAAGGATCCTGGGGAGGCAGGTCGGAGAAACTCTCTGGGGAAGTGATAACATGGGCAGGCCTAGGAGAGGGAGGTGATGGCATGAGGGAAGAGGAGTGGCCTGAACCTTACTGGTATTTGAGAGTCTCCTGGTGGTTCCTCCAGTTAGCAATCTCTAGAGAGCAGCTGTCCATGCCCCGCACACAGGGGGGATCGCTTGCTCCAGCTGTTCCATCCACAAATGGCCGCAGTCGCACAGCCACCCTTACGCGAGCTGGAGGTGGACGACGACTAGCCCCAATCTTGCTTAGCCGACAGCGACCAGCTCCTGGAGGAGAGAAAATCACTTTTAGGCATGAAGTATGGTGGTGGCAGAAGAAGCAGGGACCAGCTTTGCTGGGCAGGCTGGGGGCCACAGCTCATGTTAGAGAAGTTCATTCTGCCCTGGTCATGTTATGGACACCCCTAAGCTTGGCCTCAGTGCCTTCCCTGCTCTACAAGCAAGTCCAGCGGGGTGTATAGCAGGATTCTCAGACAAAATAACCTGGAGGATCTTGTGAAAACATGGATTTGGTCTCAGTCTCCCTGGGGTGATGCCCAAGATTTTGCATTTCTCACAAGCTCCCAGGTGATGCTGGGCACTTAAAAAAAAAAAAAAAAAAAAAAAAAAGAGGGAGAGAGGGATGGAATCTCACTAGGTTACCCAGGCTTGTCTTCAACTCCTGGGCTCCAGCGATCCTCCTACCTCAGCCTCCCAAAGTGCTGGAATTATAGGCAGGAGCCACCATGCCTGCCCCAGGACATATTTTGAATTGCCAAGGGTGAAGTAGACCAGCACCTCACAGGGTTGTTCTAAGGATTAAAAGGGTTGACATCTGACCGAAACCTAAACCATACAGCGAATTGCCAGACTTTTCTGTGCTTTTTTTTTTTTTTGAGACAGTCTTGTTCTGACACCCAGGCTGGAGTGCAGTAGCATGATCTCAGCTCACTGCAACCTCCACCTCCCAGGTTCAAGTGATCCTCCTACCTCAGCCTCTCGAGTAGATGGGATTACAAGTGCCCAACACCACTCCTGGCTAGTTTTTGTATCTTTGGTAGAAACAGGGTTTCACCATGTTGGCCAGGCTGGTCTCGAATTCCTGACCTTAAGTGATCTGCCCGCCTTGGCCTCCCAAAGTGCTGGGATTACAGGTGTGAGCTACCCCACCCAGCCTGTGTACCTCCATTTCTTAACTGGGGTTTCTAATATGTATTGAGATGTATGTACACACACAGACCCACCCCCCTTGCAAACTGTTAACGATGATCTTTCTCGTTAACATGGGGAATTATGTGGGTTCTGCAAAAACCACCAACATGCAATTCTTCTCTCATGTAAACTTATCCCTGAATTTGCTTCAGATGATTAAATCAAGTCTTTTTTTTTTTTAAGAATTGGCAACTAAATTATTTTGTATCATCGGAAAACACAATGAAGATAAAACTTAAAAAAAGAAAAGGCCTCTCTTTTTGTGGGGGTTAAGTGAGTTGAAAACATCTAAGGAGAGTATTACTCTATTTTATGTTGGAGGATAACATACTGTAGCTCATAGTGGAATTCAAACCTAGATCTCTTCCCCTCTAAAACTCTTTTAATAGGATGCTGTATTGCTTCCCTATTATGTACTAACTGGGAAAGCTCCTGGCAGCTCTTTCCCTTCCTTGCTGGTGGTAGCAGCTGGTTGCTAGGAGCCATAGGCCTCGCAGAAGGCAAAAGGCTGGCTGGTATATGTAGCCAACACAGAAACAGCAAGACGAAAAGGCAGATAGATGACACCTAGAAAGAATCTTACGCCTAGGCCAGGCACGGTGGCTCACGCCTGTAATCCCAGCACTTTGGGAGGCCAAGGCAGGCAGATCAGATCACGAGGTCAGGAGATCGAGACCATCCTGGCTAACACGATGAAACCCCATCTCTACTAAAATACAAAAAAATTAGCCAGGAGTGGTTGCAGGCGCATGTAGTCTCAGCTGCTCGGGAGGCTGAGGCAGGAAAATGGCCTGAATCTGGGAGGTGGAGCTTGCAATGAGCCGAGATTGCGCCACTGCACTCCAGCCTGGGCGGCAGAGCGAGACTTCGTCTCAAAAAAAAAAAAAGAAAGACTCTTCCATCTAAGTAAGGCAGGCATGCCCATAAGCAGATGGCCTGTTTCAAAAATTGAACCTCCATTCCATCATCTGATAAATGGGGCTACTAATACCATTTCTCACGTTATGGTAGCAAAGCGCTTGGACATGTAGTTCTCATTTGTTCCTCATGGTAATCCTGAAAGTCAGGAGCAAGCAGGTAAAAACCTGCAGATGCATGTGTGTAGACAGAGAATTAAGGTGCACTGACTTGTCAAAAATGTGTGCAGAACCCTCCTCTGCCTGCTTTCACAGGAGAGCAGAAAGAACAGAAAGATGGCAGATGTAGAGGCACTTAAGGAAGTGCAGTGATCAATCTAAGGGGAAGGGGAAGTCAGTGATGAGGTAGAGTGTAGACACTGGTCAGACAGAACTGGACTTCAATTCCAGCTCTGACATTTATTAGTTTGTGACCTTGGACCTTAGGTTTCCTTGTCTGTAAAATAAGGTTGGGGGTGGGCCTTGGGTTTTTTGAGAATTTGGCCTGGCGTGGTGGTTCAAGCCTGTAATCCCAGCACTTTGGGAGGCCAAGGTGGGCGGATCACCTGAGGTCAGGAGTTTGAGATCAGCCTGGTGGTGAAACCCTGGTTCTACTAAAAGTACAAAAATTAGTCAGGTATGGTGGTGCGCACCTGTAATCACAGCTACTTGGGAGGCTGAGGCACAAGAATTGCTTGAATGCGGGAGGTGGAGGTTGCAGTGAGCAGAGATCGTGCCATTGCACTCCAGCCTGGGTGACAGAGCAAAACTGTGTCTCAGAAAAAAAAAAAAAAAGATAATTAAAATAAGTGCCAGGTAAAGTGGCAGCACAGTGACTAGCACATAGTAGGTAGGTTCATTATTCAAGGTAAAATGGCCTGGGTTGAAATCCCAGCTCTGCCATTTACAGCTAGCTAAGTAACCTAGGGAAATTATTTTCCATCCCAGTGCCTCAATTTCCTTGCCTGCAAAATGGGAATAAAAATACCTCCTTGTTAGGTTGTTAGGACAGTAATTAAGGTGATTCATATAAAAGTGCTTTGAACATTATCTGTTATTTGGTAAAAGGCCAGTAAGTGCTTTTTAATGTCTATCTCCCATTTTCCAGATGAGGAAACCTCAGTATAGAGGGGTTAGCTGACTGGCCCAGGGTCAACAGCTAGTGAGTGACAGCTTCAAATGAAGATCTAACTCCAGTGTGCTTTATATGAACCCTCCTCAGGCTCCTCAGCCCCTTCACCTTTGCATCTCATAGGAATGTGAGGATTCAAAGTAATAATGTACATACAATGTTTAGCACAGTGCCTGGCAGCAACTGCTCAGTCCCTAGCTGTTATTATTACACCCTTTCTCTTGCTACCCACTCCTCCAACCCTGCAACTTGCTTCTGCCCTCACTATTCAGCAGGGTCACCCATGACCTCTCTAATGCTAGATCCAGTAGGCGTACTCAGCCTCAATCCTGTTGGACCTCCCAGAAGTATGCAACACTCTTGGGAAACACACTTTTCCGTTCATTTCCATGCCCCCCACCTTCCTGGTTGTCTTACCCAGTTCTCTGCTCACTCCTCAGTTCCACCAGTCTCCAGTGCTTTTCCTAGGATCTGTCTATCCTTTCTCTAGACCAGCGTTTCTCAACTTCAGCACTACTCACATTTTGGGCTGGCTAATTTCTGTTGTGGGGCTGTCCTGTGCATTTAGACTGTTAGCACAGGCTTACTAGATGCCAGTACCATTCTCCACCCTCACCCTCAAGTTGTAACAACTAAAAATCTCTCCAGACATCTCCAAATGTCCTGTGAGGGACAAAGTTGCCCCCAGCTGAGACCACTCAGTAGGCAGGTCACCTGTCCTCTTGGCTTCAGTAACATCTTACAGCCGATAAGTACTATTGTACATTCTGCACAAGAGCGCTCTACTGCAGACCCACATTCTGAATGGCTGCCCTGACAGCTCCTTTTTTTTTTTGAGATGGAGTCTCACTTTGTCGCCAGGCTGGAGTGCAGTGGCGCTCTTGGCTCACTGCAATCTCCTGCCTCAGTCTCCCGAATAGCTGGGACTACAGGTGCATATGCCACCACACCCAGCTAATTTTTGATTAATTTTAGAGATGGGGTTTCACCATGTTGGCCAAGATGGTCTCGATCTCTTGATCCTCCCGCCTTGGTCTCCCAAAGTGCTGGGATGCTGGGATTACAGGCGTGAGCCTGGCAGACAGCTCCTCTTACACTCCACCTGTCCTAAACTGAACCCTCCCTTCCCCATCTCTCTGCAGCCTCCTCCTCTGATCTGATGTAAATGAATGGCACCAACCCCAAAAGTGGGAGTCTTTAACTCCAACGTTTCTTACCTCCCACATCAGTTCATCATTAACATCTGTCAAGTCTATTTCTTTAAATCTCTCTTGAACAAGTCCACTTCTCTCCATTCCCACTGCACTACCTCTGCCCAAGGTCATGGTCTTTACAGCCTTCCTTGCTGATGGTAGCAAGGTGTCTCCCTGCCCTCTAGTCATTCCCTCTGTTTCCTTCCTTGCAGTGTAAGTTACCAGTCATGATGAATTTCCTTCACTTCCTACAAAACTCTAAGTTCTCTTGCACCTTTGGGTTTTTGTCCACGTTAATCTCTCTTCCTAGAATATCTGCACTGCTCCCCACCCCACCCTGGAGTGACTGAGGTAAACACATATTAATTCCTCTTAAAAAACAAAACCAAAAACCCTTTCCTGGTAGACACTAAGGCTTTATCAGGTGCACCCACAGCTCTTGGTAGCCCCTCCATAAGCATTTGTCACGCCCCACTATTGCGTGTTTGTCACTTTCTCCACCTGACTGCCAACTGTGAGAACAAGTTTTATCCTGCTCACCTTTCTAACCCCAACACCTGGCGCGGAGTAGGCCCTCAGGAAGTATTTGCTGAAAAAAATTAAGATGTAGTGAATCAACTTCTACTCACTGGCTTGTTCATTTCCATCATGAAAGTGGCTCACTGCCATTCCTGCCCCAGAGCTCACAGTCCAGGGGAGGAGGGAAGAGGGAGGGCCACATGTAAACAATTATTTACAGCACAAGAGTCTAGCTCTTTCATGATAAAAGCAACCTTGAGCTTGGACCAGACTAGCAATTATTATTAATTTTCCCTTCTTCTACAATTCCTAAATTTCACTCACTCTTCTTCCTTCTCTTGATGAGGAAATTGAGCTAAGAGAGCATCTTTGGTCTCTTTTACATCATAAATAAAACAACACTTGCTGTTCTTGTCTTCTTAGTCAAAGCCTGGCAAACTCCTATCCAACCTTTGAAACCCATCTCAAGTATCACTCCCTGAATGAAGTCCTCCCCTTGAGTATTCTACTCAAGGGTTTACTTCAGATTCCACACACTCAGTGTATACACATCTCTCATTGTGTTTCATATTACATCTGCGTATGTGACACTCTATTCAAACAGATTTTAAGTTCCTCGAGGAAGGGACATTATATTTAGGCATTTTCATATCTACCATGCACCGGACACAGTGCATCAGGGTAAGGGGAGACTCTGCTCAGCCAGCAGGGACAGCATGTACTTGGGCATAATGGTTAAGAGCAGAGGCTCTACACTCTGACTCCTTGAGAGCGAATTCAGGCCCCAATATTTACTAGTTGCGTTAAATCTGAACAAACTAACCTTAGTTTCCTGTATAAAACGAAGACAGTAATAGTAACAACCTCATAGCATTGTGTGGACAATAATTGGTTCACCACCATAAAATGCCTACAACTGTGCCTGGCACATAGCAAGAGCTCTACATGTTAGGCATTCTCCTAAATGTCTGTTTCCCCACGAGGCTAACGAGGGCTCCAATGAATTACTATGGCGCCCACCATCATCACTGACAAGGGCTAAGTCTCCGGGTTAGACAGGCACATGTAAACAAATACTCACATACAAGATTTTGGGTGTCCTAACAGCCTTTCTAACCCTAAAATAGCATTCACTTCCATGCTAGAGTGAAAGGAAACTTCAGTCTTTTACTTCGTTTTATTGTAATCGCAGAGCATCTTACGCTGTCAACTCAAACCCAGCAGCAGCCGGGTCTGATCCTCAATCCGCCCTTCTGCATCTCTCAGGGATGTCTCTGCACCCAAACACCATGTCCCACACAGAACCCTTCCCAAAACACGCCTCCGGCTCCCTTCTCGTCCTCGTGGCTAGAGCGTCCGCCACTCTTCTCTTGCTTATTCAGGTCATCTCCAGGGACGAGGCCATGACCCCCATTTCACAGAGGAAGAAACCGAAGCTCACAAAGTGCGCGGGGTTCAAACCAAGAGCCTGGGCCGGAGACCCGAGTCTACTGACCCAAGGAGAGAGCAGGAAACAGGGAGAAGGCTGGAGTCAGGCTGGCCGACCAACTCGCGACCCCACACTCTCGCCGTCCCCCCTCTCCCCGCCCCTGCGCTGTGGCCGCCTCTCCGCGACAACCCGCGGAACCTGGACCACACTCCGACGCATGACTCCCACTAAGCTCCAGACGTCGGTGCCCGCCTTGCCCAGGCCGGGCTCAAGTACCTGAGGTAGCCGCCGCTGCCGCTACCGCTGCCGCCATCTCGCGTTGCCTCTGCTGCGTCGAGACCCCCGCGGACATTCCCCTCCCTCCTTGGGCCCGCCTCTCCCATTCGAATTCCCCGTTGCCCCGCCCCCCTCCCAGGCTCCACCAATCACGGCTACGCGCCGCCGGAAGCTCCTGCGGGTCGCTCGCCACTATCCCGCCCTCCAGCGCTCGCCTCCGGGTCTCCAAGAAAAGGTTCCCCTGGTCAGGACGCATGCGCGCGCGTGGGCCGCGCAACCGTTGACCTCTGGAAGCGCGCTGCGGTTCAAACGCCTACGCGGAGATGTTGACGACGGTGGCCGCTGGGGGAGCTGCTGAGCGCCGCGCGGCACTGGGCTCCCTTTCGTTTCATTTTCTGCAGTTTCTTGCCTCCGTGGTTGGTGGCGCGTCTGCGGAGATAGAGTCGTTGTGTGGATCGTGGGACTGCAGCCCCAGCCAAAGGGCTGTCACGTCTGGTCGGTTCTGTAGATCTGGGCCCCAGGGGCTGGACTGTGGGTAGTCACGTTGCACTCGCTGCCTGCTGGGCCCAAGGCCACTGTAGGTCCCTTCGCGTCCATGTCAGCCCAGGAGAGCAGCTTGGATGTTCCTGTCTTTATAACTTGGGACTCAGCACGTCGGCGAAGCTTGGAAAACGCTTGTTCTGTGATTCAGTCCCACTCACCCATGGTTCCGGTTCCCAGTCTTTAAGGGTACAGCGGTCCGTTGAGTAGCTCTCTGTCCTTTGTGAAAGGTTGGCTAGGGACTGTCATTCCACTTTTGAGCACCAGGTAGGTAGGGCCCAGGTTTAGACATTATGTTCCACCCTACTGAACAACAAAACAAAACCCAGGCCGGGCTTGGTGGCTCAGTCCTGTAATCCCAGCACTTTGAGAGGCTGAGGCGGGGGGATCACTGAGGTGAGGAGCTCGAGACCAGTCTGGCCAACATGGTGAAACCCCATCTCTACTAAAAACACAAAAATTAGCGGGGGGTGGTGTCGCACCTGTAATCCCAGCTACTCGGGAGGCTGAGGCAGGAGAATCGCTTGAACCTGGGAGATGTAGGTTGCAGTGAGCTGAGATGGTGCCACTGCACACCCCGTCTCAAAACAAAAAACACAAATCTTACATCAGTGTTTCTGAAACGTTTTGCCTTGGGATCCCACTACAGTTTTTAAAAATGAGGCCTCTAAAGATGTTTTGTGTATATGAGGGCTTTTGTTTTTTTGTTTTTGAGATAAGATTTCACTTCCATCTCCCAGGCTAGAGTGCAGTGGCTCAATCTCGGTTCACTCCAACCTCTGCCTCTCGGGTTCAAATGATTCTCCTGCCTCAACCTCCCGAGTAGCTGGGATTACAGGCATGCAGCAACACGCTCAGCTAATTTTTGTATTTTTATGGAGATAGGTTTTTACCATGTTGGCCAGGCTGGTCTCAAACTCCTGACCTCAAGTGATCCACCAGCTTTGGCCTCCCAAAGTGCTGGGAGTACAGGTGTGAACCACCGGGCCTGACCATATATACTGTATGTGAAATGAAACCGAATTAAAGTGACATTAATGAATTTAAAAATTACAGTAACAAACCCATAGACACAAAACGTACATCTAAGTAGTGGTTGCCAGGCGATGGTGAAGGGCTGAGGAATTGGCACTACAGCAATAGATATAATTATCGGGGGAATCCCACCCCCTATATTCAATGTGGGTCCTTTTCTATTTTCCCTAAGTGTCAACTGGTCTGAGAAATAAAGGGAAAGAGTACAAAAGAGAGAAATTTTAAAGCTGGGTGTCCAGGGGAGACATCATAAATCAACAGGTTCTGTGATGCCCCCCAAGTCGCAAAACTAGCAAGTTTTTATTAGTGATTTTCAAAAGGGGAGGGAGTGTACGAATAGGATGTGGGTCACAGAGATCACATGCTTCACAAGGTAATAAAATATCACAAGGCTAATGGAGACGGTGAGATCACAGGACCGGGCAAAATTAAAATTGCTAATGAAGTTTTGGGCACGCATTGTCATTGATAACATCTTATCAGGAGACAGGGTTTGAGAGCAGACAACCGTCTGATCAAAATTTATTAGGCGGGAATTTCCTCATCCTAATAAGCCTGGGAGTGCTATGGGAGACCAGGGCTTATTTCATCTCTTATCTACAACCGTAAAAGACAGATGTTCCCAAAGCGGCCATTGTAGAGGCCTCCCCTTAAGAACACATTCTCTTTCTCAGGGATGTTCCTTGCTGAGAAAAAGAATTCAACAATATTTCTCCTATTTGCTTTTGAAAGAAGAGAAATATGACTCTGTTCCACGTGGCCCACAGGCAGCCAGACTTTACGGTTATCTCCCTTGTTCCCTGAACCTTGCTGTTATCCTGTTCTTTTTTCAAGGTGCCCAGATTTCATATTGTTTAAACAATTTGTGCAGTTAACCCAATCATCACAGGGCCCTGAGGTGACACTCATCCTCAGCTTACGAACATGACAAGATTAAGAGATTAAAGTAAAGACAGGCAGCCGGGCTCACACCTGTAATCCCAGCACTTTGGGAGGCCGAGGCGGGCGGATCATGAGGTCAGGAGATCGAGACCATCCTGGCTAACATGGTGAAACCCCGTCTCTACTAAAAACACAAAAAATTAGCCGGGA